GAGACAAGCCATTTTATTATTCGATAATAGTTGCAAAAGAATATTTTTTTTCTAATAACTGCTATTACGAGCACTTTTTGGATCGTCGAATTTTTATGTTTTTTTGTACCATTATCGTTACTGGAAATCACATATAGTGGGCTACTAGTGGAAACAGATATGTCACTATTTTCATAAAAATATAAAAAGAACCAAGAGTGTCGATATCTTCTTTTTTCACGTATTTCTGTGCCACTTGGCATTAATGACTTGACATTAATGACACCCTCTTGATTTAACAGCTCGACAGAAAAAGGAGAGAGAGGGCAATGTAGGTAAAAATTTTCGTGGAAACTTGAGCTGATACGTGCGGGAAACTCTCTGGTCCACTTTGCAGTCGACTACACGGCGTAGCGACACGATATATACCGCGACTAGGAAATGATGGCTACTTCGAGCCCTGAATTATCGTTTTACTTCGCGCCGTAGCCTGTTGAGCAGCCGAAGATTTAGAAAGGTCTCGGTCGTTCCAGCAACGCCGATCGAAACTCCGTTTCTTATTATCGCCATTTATCGTCACTTTTTCACTGTATTTAAGAAATAATACTGGATAATTTGAGCCGAAGATCGCGGCAATTACATATTTCATTTGAATTGAAAACATTTGAAAAGTATCTCGTCGAATGTTTATTTGAACAAGGGAAAAATTGGTTCATTAAAAGAAAACACGGAGCAAAATGAAACAAAACAAATCAAATTGTTAGCAATAGATTCGACGTAGGAAAAACCTGTCAAAAATTTTACCGAAATTTGCAAATTTTTGGACAGGGGCAGCGTGTCCTTCTATCAGCGAATGACAGATGGATGAATCATCGAGCCGAACGTTTTCGTCATCGTTAACGCGTGATCGAAACGCAACTAGACTCGTCCCTTAAAACGTAATCATAGGTCCCATCGGTCAATCGATTAATTAACACGGATTAGCGGGGGTTTCTAGTCATCGCTTAGATTGGATATATCCTGGTATGGTAAATGTATGATACAGTGGATAATGACCGGGGTAAATAGAGTTTGTTGTCCGTGGATTATCGTTGCTAATTGCAGTTTGCGCAAAGCTGCGTGGACGTGGCCGGCTGGTGGGTTGGTCGGCGAGAAACAGTCACGAGAACTGTGTAACGGATGTCGAGCCGGCGACAATGGATCCGGTATGGGGCCGGCGCAAATATTGACCGCAACAAATATAGGCCCGGCCGGCAATCAAAACGTCAGCCGGGGCTTAATTTATCGCGATCCAGGCAAGGCTGCCCCGTTGCGGCCTCTGCGTTTTTCCAACGCGGACGTGGCGCCAATGTCGATTGTTCGCGCTGTTTATTGAAAGATCAAGGGCCGGCTGGTTGCGCGTGACGTTTCCAAACGCCACTTTCCAACCAATATGCCGGCACAACGCCGATTCGCACCGACGCGACGCGACGCGTCGGCGTAACAGAAGCTCGCGCGAATTTTGCCAACAACGTTCGCTTTGAGAGCGATTGTGTCGCTCTCTACAGAGAGACACGTTTCGAGTAGTCGAGTCGCTCTTTGGACAATCAGCTGTCTTCTTTTCTTTGTTTAAGCTTATCGAAAGGATTGCAGATACCTCAGTTGCAATTATCGAGAATTTACAAATAATTAGGAGAGAATCGGCGCAACAGAAGCTCGCGCGAATTTTGCCAAAATTGTCAAAATTTGCTTTGAGAGCGGTTGTGTCGATACAGAGAGACACGTTTCAAGTAGTCGAGTCGCTCTTTGGAGAATCAACTGTCTTCTTTTCTTTGTTTAAGCTTATCGAAAGGATTGCAGATACCTCAGTTGCAATTATCGAGAATTTACAAGTAATTAGGAGAGAATCGGCGTGAATTTTGCCAACAACGTTCGCTTTGAAAGCGGTTGTGTCGCTCTCTACATAGAGACACGTTTCGAGTAGTCGAGTCGCTCTTTGGAGAATCAACTGTCTTCTTTTCTTTTTTTAAGCTTATCGAAAGGATTGCAGATACCTCAGTTGCAATTACCGAGAATTTACAAGTAATTAGGAGAGAATCGGCGTAACAGAAGTTTGCCAAAATTGTCAAAATTCGCTCTGAGAGCGGTTGTGTCGATACAGAGAGACACGTTTCGAGTAGTCGAGTCGCTCTTTGGACAATCAACTGTCTTCTTTTCTTTGTTTAAGCTTATCGAAAGGATTGCAGATACCTCAGTTGCAATTATCGAGAATTTACAAGTAATTAGGAGAGAATCGGCGCGAATTTTGCCAACAAAATTCGCTTTGAGAGTGATTGTGTCGATACAGAGAGACGCTCTTTGGAGAATCAACTGTCTCCTTTTCTTTTTTTAATCTTATCGAAAGGAGTTATGGACACTTTTTTTTGTCATTACACGCATGAGGAGAATCGTATATTTTTTTGTTCTAACTTATTTCGATAAAAATTAAATTTGAAGAAATTGATTTGTAACACGAATGAATTTGTTAACGAAAGAAATTATTTCCTCTTTTTGATTACGATGCATGTATAATATACCTGTATAAAATGTCTATGTATTTATGTATTATTTATTATACAAGTAACGTATGTATATAATTAATGTAATATATTATTAATATAATGTATTGTATAAAATATCTAATATATATATATATAATATACCTTGCTTGCATAATATACTTGTATAAAAATAAGCAAACAAACACTTGTATAATTATACTTGCATAAAAATAAAGTTAAAGTAACATTACAACATACAGATAGATAATCGCACGTACGATGAATTAATTGAAGTTGACTGAAATCTGTCTACGATTGTCCAAGTATTATTCACGGCTGGATATTCTGATGAATAAACGATGATGTTTCGTTCTGATTGCAGAGTTGTTAATTAAGAATGCGCGATGACACGGCGAATTTGTCAGTGGACAGCAAGCCCGCGCGAGAAGGCGCAGGGTATGGAAATGGAACCGCAAAAAACAAACTCTCACCGCCAGGAAAAAATATTCTTGAAGTGTAAGTACACCTTCCGACAGTTAAAGAGCCTCCACTTGGTCTTGAATTTTCTCTATTTTCGCGACGCCGGAGCAGGCTGAAAGGCGGAGCGAACCACTTGCCAAGACGGAGCTTCGCTTTCGCGGGGGG